CCCTTTGTGATTAAGTTTGGAACTATAAAACTCTGGCCAGATGATTTGTTAGAATCATCATTTTCTCTCTATCAACCAGCTAATCTTGTGGAGATGTGGTAGGAGATGCTTGCCCTTTTCTTTAGACAAGGCATGGTACATTTTAGTGGAGTTATTGCCTTAATGCCATGTTCAGGTAATTAACTGGTCACGCAGTCCTTTCTCTGAAGGAGAACCTGCTGTTGGGGGAACTGTTGTACATCTATTTTGTATACTTTTGCTTACAGAAGAATATCAACAGCGGAGGCAGCTAGGGTGATAAAGCATGAAAGAGAGGGACAAAAAAGGCAAAATTGTTGGTACTCAATAACTCTTTTAATACAAGGGCTAAGAAAAAGAAAAAGGGTAATATGGAATTGCTGTTTCTCTGCTTTGGGACTTGTGAGAACATCCCTGAAATGCCATGCCTGACTGACATTTACTTTTCGCTAGCATTGAGTTCTCTGTGTTGTAAAGAGCTAACACTAACCAGTGTTGTAAAGAGCTGAGCCACAACATTGCATGGTTTCTTTCCCCATCTCCTTCGTGTTGCCCAAAAGGATTCAGACACATGTACTGCAGGCTTTGCTGTTGCTCAGAGATAAAGCCATGTGGTGTAGGTTTATATATATATATATGATGTTTTCTTCTGGGGTAGACTGCTCCCTGAACATTCCAATTTCCTTTCTGTTTAGCAACAAGCACATCCTATCATGAAGCGAGTCAGACACCTAGTGTCTAGTTCAAATTAATTCACTGAGTCTCTAATTCATACATTAAATATGCTCACAGTTGTTTGGTGCTGAGGAAATACTGTGCATCTAGCAGATTTTACATATGAATTTTTAAAGCATTAAAAGTGACTTCTGGTAGTAAATACTAATCTCAATCTTGTAAGAATATCCTGATTTATAATAAGAGTTGTGTGACTGTGTTAGTGTTTTAAGTAATACTTACTGTAATTCTCTGTAATGAAAAACTCTTGCATCTTACAAAGTGTGATAGCTTGCTTTTTAGAAGTAAGCAATAATTGAAGGTTTGAGGATTTTGCGTAATTCCCTGTTGCCTACGGAGTACTTAGTATGTTATACTTTTACATATCCAATTCCTTAACAGGTGGTCTTTCTAGAATTTTTTAATGGGTCTAGGCATCTGTATATTTTCTCAAATTACAATATCTTGCATAGATAAAATAAGAATTATAATGAGGAAATATCTCTATTATAAATGAGATTATAGAAACATTATTATTCTTGATGCTCTGCTTTGCTTCTGAGGAGGTCATTTACTGCATCAGAAGAAAATTCTCAAAGTCAGGTGAAGTTCTTATGTGGTTGTATTATAATACTGTTTTTCATGAAAGAAAAAGGCTTCAGGTAATAATTCACCTTACCACATTTCATTGGAGCTTTTTTATAGCAGCCAAGCTTCTAGTTCTTTGAGATACGTGTATAGGTATTCTAACAAAACATCTCCTGCCCAGATCTGTTAAAATGCTAGACTGGTAGAAAAATTGCAATTCACAAAACCCCTATTGTTTATCCTTGGAGCTCTTGCCAGGTTTGTACATATGAATAAATGTGAATCCAGATGACCGATTTGATCCTTCTATCTTGGAATTTCTATGAAATGCAAACAAGTATAACTTTTCCATATTAAATTTAATCAAGTCTCAGTTTCATTGACAGTGTGATATGAAAAGTGACAGATTAGTCTTGGTGAACTTGCCGCTCATCTACATTTCTGTCTGTAAATAACTGAATTGCTCTGGATTGATTAAATCACAAGAGAGCCTGGGTTGGATTATATGTGTGTTGGTCTGAGACTAGTATGGGTGAGGTTTGAACTGTCAGAGAGAGGGATCTTCAAACTCCAAAGCAACTCACTGTACACATCAAATCTTTAATGGTATTTAAATTTCCAAATCTACACTTACAAATTTTTAGCTGAATTTAATAATTATAATAATGCATTGAGTTTAAACTTGTTTTTACTAGGATCTATATTGAAGTAGCTCATTACCAGAAAAAAAAGACACAGGCATGTCTCCTAGGACTTACTCTGTCAAGCATTGTAGAGGAAATTTGAGAGAAGTAATTGCCTTGTAACTAAGATGCATTTGGGTCTTGGACTTTGTACTGGTTTCCTCAGGGTTTATCTGGTTCATTTCTTCATCTCTAAGTAAGAGTGAATACAGCAGAAAGTTGTTCTAACATTCCATAAAGCTCAAAAATTATCACGATAGCTGGTTAGGGAATGACTGGAAGAGGAACTGTCTTAACTGGGCAAGAGCTTTTGCCTCATACTGGCTTTCTAGCCTTTACTTTAGGGTGCAAGCAACATTTCATTGGTAGAACCCATATGCTGCTTTAGCCACATCAAGATTTTGTTACATGTTAGCAACTGCAAATGGACTTTATGCCTAACAAAGCAAAAGCTTTCCAGTGCATTAGGGAAACAGTTTCTGATACTGCAGTAAATTCCTCTCTATATATGGGGAGAGCTGGTGATTATGGGCTTCCGTTCTCGTGTTCCTGGTTTGGGGAAATATTTTTTTTGGAGCTATCTGAAAAATAGTTATCCGACAAACATTGCTGGTGTAAAATATGTTATTCTGTGCATACATTATCTTTGCAATGTTAGGAGGCCTTGAGTAGTGATGCTCTCTTGCCCTTCTGAAAAAAGAAAATAATGGAATCTATTTCTTCTGAATGAAATAATAATATGGAATGGCTCTTCTCTTTATTGGTAATTCTTTAATGTCAGGTACCTAATGTTAAATCTCACTGTTGTTAACAAACCGCTAATCCAATTTGCTGGATGGATTCAGCACACTAAAAATAAAAATCAAATACAATTTGAAAAGCATAGATGTTACTTGGGGGACAAAATAAATGGCAGTAGTAGATTCCTAAGCCCAAACAGATGTTTTAAAGACTGAGGAATAGAAGCTAAGTTTCTTTGCGCTGTAATGACAGAGCATGTTCAGGATTAATTGTGTGTGTGTGTGTGTGTGTATACATATTTTGGGAATATATATATAAAAGTTAGATTGGTTTAATTATCTTTAGATATAATTGTGTGTGTGTGTGTGTGTGTATACATATTTTGGGAAGATATATATATAGAAAAGTTAGATTGGTTTAATTATCTTTAGATAATGTATTCATACAATGAGGAAGTCTAAAGATTAAACAGTTTTGAGTTTTGTGGACTGGAACTCATTAAATCTGCCTCTATTAATGGAATGTCCCAAATTATTTTCCTGTTTCACTTGGTGAAGTTTGGTGGCAGTGTGTGCAGTCCAGTTACTTAATTGTTATTGGCTTTTTTCTTCCCCAGAGAGAATGATTGTCACTGTCTTATTTTAGGGTAGGACTTCATTGAATCCTGTGAGTAATGTTAAAAAAGGGAACAACTTGCAGTAAATTCTAAAGGGAATTTTAAATTTATATGGAACAGTTATTTCAAAATTAAAAATTGTTATTTTCTGTCAACAACACTAAATAAGCAAATGAAAGGTATAAAACTATGTTTTCAAGATTGATTATTCAATATTGCTGGGAAAGCTATTTGCAAAACATACTCCAGTGTGTGAATTCATCAGCAGAACGTGGCCAAAATTGCCTCACTTTTCTACCGGCTCAAAAGCGATGGAGATTATATAGTAAAATAATCAAATTCCAGTTGCACCCTGCATTGATTTAGCAGACACTCTGAGGTGTTCCAGGGTTGCTTACAGAAGATAGATGGCATTTTCTTCCCTACCTCTTTGTATAATATGAATAACTGCCTCTGTTGAAATCTAAATGGGTTACTCTTCAGTTAATATAAAAGACACCATCAAAAAGTTTACTAAACTATAAACATTTTTTTGCTATTGAAAAACTGTCATGGTTTATTACGGTATAATGTCTTTATGGTATCTCTCTTTCTATTAGGTAAGACAGGAATTGTTCATTTCTTGTGTGTAAATCAAATTCCTTCTGCGTGCACTGAATCTTTTTTCAGTACAGTTTATTACTTCTTGCTTACAGAATAATACCAACGGTTTTGAAATCACAGATATTCAGATGCACCTTAGGTTTTGTTCTGGAGACCCAGTGTTTTGCTGTGGAGCAAGGAGATGCTACGTTTTTACATGGTAACCACGTTATTTACACAGCCTTTCTAAATTGATATATACCAACTAGACTTGGAGAGTAACGTAAATCAATGTGATAGGTAGATTTCTCTGTGTGAAAAAGGAAATACCCTTTGACCTATACTTTCCTGAAACTGTCACTGTTTTACTGAATAAGAAAGCATAAACACTCTAATTACTGCTGGAGACCCACTGAGTAGTTGGGTGTTCAGGAAAATCCTGATGTAGTGAGTCAACCAGTAATAGAGGACTTCGCTAACTGCTGTGAAAAAACAACCCTGGGAAAACTCTTGCGTAACCTTTGCTACACATGAAGTCTTGTCTATTGTGTGGGGAACCTATTCGCACAAAGCTAACAGACTTCATAAAGTCCAGTTAGGGTCACCCTGGGTGGTTACCCAGTTCCTTCAGTAAGCATTTAGGCCAACTATTTCTGTGTTTCCCTCACCTATTCTGATTGAGCTTTCTGCTTGTCTTGAAGTTCTTGGCAAGAGGTCTGGGAAGGAGATCACTAGGCAATGACATTTTGTGTCAGCCCTTTTTTTCCTGTACAGAGTGAAGGAACCAGAAATTCAACCGCACCCTTGAGGTGGTGGATCATTACTGTCTGTGTCACTGAAACTGTTGATGCAGGTGATAGATACCTAAACTAGGAACAAGGTCTTCACATTTTTTTATACTTCATCCATTTAGATGTTTTTGGTAGTATTTCAGAAATTGGTCTTCTCTCCTTCTCACAGTTCCAGGTTGTGTCAACAACCATGACTAGGAATGAGACAGAAATTCACGGAACTGATCGATAAATGCATGTCTTAATGTTTCTCTCGCACCGTGAGTCTCTTCCTTCCAGTAAACATGCAGGCAGGTCCAATTCTTACCTTTGTTTGGGCCGAAGCCTCTGCTCTTTTGTCTGTTGACCTTAATCATATTTGTTCTCACAGCAATTTGCAAGGCATTACCAGTTCGAGTGGAGTTTGTGTGCTGAAAAATATTATCAGTTATGATTAACAGTTATGAGAGGTGAGAGATCCTACATTTATATTTACTTCCTCCCTGGTGGTGAATATGTATTCAAATGAAGATACCGCAGTTTTGAGCAGATGCTGTGCAACAAAATCTGTAGGTTGTTTCCCATATTCTTAACTGTTGGAACGTTTCCACCTTAACATAAGCAAATATTAATTGGAACACAGCAGAAGAGAAATTTAATTCTGTGTTAGTTTCAGCCCTGTTCTGGGAAGGTGCTACCTCTTGCTCCTCCGTCGTTTTCAACATTTGTTTATCTGTAGTTTAAATGGTTATGACGAGAAGTTGATTACCACATCCATTGCCCAACAGGATTATAATACTTTAGAGTAATCGCTGGTAAAATGGGCACAACTCAGTCGAAGCAGAAGAGGCCATCAAGCCTGAGTCTTCTGTTAAGTGAATTCTGAAACACTGATGTGTTGGACAAAGGGAAAATGGTATTAACACTTCTTACTTGCAGTGTAAACATTTACTTCTCTTGTATTAAACACAGCAATCCACAAAACCCCCCAACCCCCCTGGAAATCAGATTCTACTTTTTCATGCAAGTTGGAAAATTCAGTTTGGCATACAGTTCTTTTATTTTTTTTTTCTTTTTAAGGAAAAAGTATTTATAATTGGACTCTATGAATTAAATTTAACTTAGTTTGGCATCATAAAAGCTGAATTCAGAGATAAATTTCTTATCTCTGAAAAAATTGTGAGTGGCATAAATGCTACTTTCAGGTATACTTTGCGACATGTAAATATTGACTTTTTGGGGACAGCCATATTTTCAAACACAGCAGATATTTAGAAGCAGGAGACAATAATTTAAAAATGTACATAAGTATCTAATGACCAGATTTTTTAAAAGCGATTATTGTTTACAAAGCAACTTTATAATTGTTGTTGAATAGTTTAGAGTTTGGAGGAAGAGGGGTTCTGGTGTTTTTGGTTTGGTTAGGTACCTATATGTGTGTCCTTAGGCACCTAAATGAAGTCCTGAAAATGCCTTACGTTCCTATGATGCTTACAAAAATATTGTTCCGATATCTTGCCAAAAGTGGCAGTCATTCATAGAGCAGGGAGGAACAAATAGAAGAACGCAAAACTGCTTGACAAATAAAAAGAGTATTAAAACCACAGAATAGCTCAGGTTGCCAGTTTTGACATCCGTTTGGAAAGAGGAATAAAGACACAGGAAGAAAAGGCAGGAGTTCTACATGAAACGGGGCTTCAGCTGCTCCCAGGCTGGCTTAACTCTGCAAGATCAAAGCAGATGAGGTGTTCGGCCCTGCACCTCTGGTTTGCTATAGCATGAGGGAAAGGTCTATAGGTTTTTCAGGTCTTCCACTGACCACTAACAAAAAGTATGGATTATCATATATCACCACTAGGAAATTGCTTTCCACAGAGTTGGAAATGAAAAATAAATAAAAAGATAATTAAGTTCTTTACCGTAAGTTGTCATCATCTCCATCTTAAAGGATGACCTTTACCCTTCAGCAGAGTTGGTTGGCATTTCAGGGGTTTTGCATACACTCCGTAATGTGTATAGAGAATAGAACAGCCTGGGGATAGTCTAAATTGCCAGGCAATGGTACCCTCTCTTTTGTCATAGACGTAAATGAATAAAACCAAGGAGGAAAAAACCCTTGTACAAATGAAGAAATAGTCACAAATTGCTGAAGACTTAATATGCCCTTGACTGATTTACGTGTTCAGAGTTACATGGAAACTTAGCAGCAGCAATAGTAATGAGATACTTCATTTTTAAATTAAGTCACGTTGAGATTAATGTCATTGGAGAAACCTAAAACCTTCAGAAAAGGGTTTGTGCAGCAGGTGAAATTGCTTGGGTATCCAGGAAAAGTTACAAGAACCCAGCTAAAGATAATGTAAAGTTCTTAGGACCCTGAACTTTGGAAGAATGACTCTGGGCTTCTGTGATGCTTTGTCATTAGAGAATTAAGCTTCTGCTCTTTTTAGAAGTTGTGTGATATGCTGGGCTTATTGAAGTAACAACTCCGTGTAAAATACATATATTGCATGTTTATAAATAGGGAAGTGTAATTTAAACTGTGGATTTTGTTTGGGATATATTAATAGGGCTGTGACCTCCTGTAAAAATTCTGACAAATTTAGCACCCAGCATTCTCATTTGTGGAAAGCTTCTTTCAGGAGACAAAATCAGGTTACTTCAGCCAACAATAATGGCATAACTAGACTTCAGCTATTTAAGAGGTACTGAAATAAAGGGCTATTAAAAAGAAGATGCAATGCAAGCCTGTTTTGCGGATACTTCCTTTCCCTTTCTTGGTGTGAGCCGTGCTGGCTTTACCTTCCAAACGATACAATGTTTGTTTTCCCTGTTATGAAACTTTTTCTAAAGTTCTGTTAGGTGTTGTGACACTTTCACCAAGCTGTCTTTTTTTCCTACCCCTGATGTGAATTAATTGAAGTGAAATGAAAAACAGACAACTGCCGTGTATTATTTCTAGCCTCCTTGAAAAGCTTCCCCTGTGATTGATTTTTTTTTTTTCAGTCCCATTTCCATGTTGCTCCACTTATTAGTATTAGCCTCATTACCTCGCTTGGGTTCCTTGCTGTGATAGTAACCCATCTAGAAATTACCTCTCAAAAATTCCCTTACCTTAGGGAAGTGTCCCACTGGTACATTGATTTTTTTTTTATTTGTTTGTACAGCTGGGCCCTGGTTGGGGTTATGTTTCCCATGCAGGCACATGGGTGCTCCACCTGCTCCCTGCTTGTGCAGAGATTATTGAGGGTACCATCAGCAGCTGGGTTTAAACGTGACTCATGTTAGCCCTGAGAATTCAATTCTGTCAAGCTGATCTTAGAGATTCAGATTTGTCCTGTTGTTGCAGGGGACTGCTTAGCAAAAGCCACATGGCTGCATAGATTTTTCTTGCGTTATTTATTCCTCTTTCCCGCTAAGCAAAGAGAAGCTAAGGAAGTGGTAGGGAGCTAATAGCTGACAATTCACTGTATCGCCTTTTCTCTAGCTAAGGCTTGGCAATTTTCCTGCTAAAAACCTCGTGTGATACATTTTCATAAACGACAACTCATGCTGTATCAGCTCCTCTGTTCTTAAGGGAAATTCAGAGCTGGTGGTGCACTTAGAGGCCTCCCAACCCAGGGTGCCTTCCCCGAGCATCGCCTACCCGCGTCGGGCGCTCTGCGGGCATTTGGCGGCTGCGTCATTCCCCACCATCGCCAGTGGGTGACTCCCTTGGCACTGCTTATTGTACTCTCCGGCTGGCTGGTGGGACAGAGGCTGGAAAGAAACGGATCATTTTCTTGTCTTGAGTTCTCCATCTAAGGAAAGGAAAATTAAAAACAAACCAAAAAAAAGCACTTAAAGGATTAAACCAGTTGCCTTAAGAGTACTAAAACTGTTTTCCCTAGAAAGAAACTCTTCAGAATCAAGGCTCTAAAATAATAAATGTAAGAACAGAGATCCATTTCTTACTTGTTTTCAAGGAACGATGTAGCCTGTGGTCATTTATCCTGCTGCACACATCCCAGACAAAGACCTGAGTGTTCGCCGAGGAATCCGAACCGTGGCACGAGTAACTTGCACTGTGTGGCTGCCAGGCTCGCTGCTGGGCTGGCATGCAGGATGCGCTTGTTTCCATTGGTATTGCTTAGCCCCTCCCAGCTGGACCAGTGGGTAACAAAATGTGAATTAGACTCTTAAAACAAAGTTAGTAAGTCCACAACTTAGCAGACATACAGATGACTCCACTTACCCTTGTTATTTTTGTAGCAGCCACACAGAAAAGCCATAATATTGTTGTCACTACAAGAACAGAAGAACTTTTTGAAGTAGCACTTTTCTACCTTAGAGGAGCACTTCAATATTTAGCAAACGCTGCAGAGCTGGAAGAACAGCTTCATGGAAATATAGTTTCTCAGTCATTGACATAAAAACATTTTGCACTATTACAGTTTGGGATTTTTTTTTTTTTCTTAGATGGGAAGTTATTTTTTCCCCAGACTGTAAGTTTGGGGAAGCTGAACTTAAAGTGGCTGCTGCTTTTGTTCAGCTCCGGTGTTATTTTGAGTTATACTGAGACAATCTTACAATGTCAGCTGTGATAATTGAACTGGATAAGCTTTCTTCAGATGCGGTTGAGAGCAAAAAGGATTCCAAGTCAGATTTTAAGGAAGGAAAATTCAGTGATTCGTGTGCTGATTATCACAGTTTTCAACTTCACTGCTCGCGTTCTGCACCAGCTGGTAAGCCTGCATTTATGTAAACTATTTCCTCAGAGCTCTGTCTATTTACTCATGTAACATGTTGCAAGTAAACTGTAAAACACAATAAGGAAAACACAGGATTCGTTGCTGTCACATGCATGCAATCTATAAAGTCATTTGTACTTTAGGTAAAGGGTAGAACATATGTTTGTTTAAAAAAGCCTCGGTGTCTCCTGAACACACTAGCACGTAGGGTACTGCTGGGAGATGAGCCCAGGAGATGGTTGCCTTTGCATTACCTAGAAGATGAGCTTTCTGTAGCAGATGACAGCGTTTCTGTGTGGGTTAGAGCAGCCTCAGCAGCTTCTCTGGTATGAGGCTTTGCAAGGTATGTGTATAAGCTGTGCTCTCCAGCACTGGGGCTTCCCTTCTGCTTTCCTCTGGAAGGCTGCAACTTTCACTTGGCTGAAGTAGGTGAATATGTAAATAAGCCTTCAATATTTTTAACTCTGTAACAAACTTTTAGAACACTTTTTACTTACAAATTCAGTTCTTACATGTTGAAATGGTCAAATGGTTGCTACCTATTTTTTTGCAAGAAAAACAGATAGCTTGTGCTTAACCTAAAAGAAGTTTTCTAATTGTACTTCTTGTAAAGCCTTCACAAACTTTTGTAAAATAGAGTTTTCTCAGTAGATTCACTTTTAAAAGTTTGTCTTGGATGTTAGCAGGTTTTGGCAAGGTTAGGTATTGGGTGCCTGTCTGTTCGCCTGGGATACTATAACAAAACTTCCAAATTACTTCTCCTACCCCAAAGAAGTGCCACTAAGGAATTTATGCCTGTGCTAGCTGATATACTTTACTATGTTCCCTGAACATCACAGTAATCTGTCCTTGTTCGTGGAACTATACCATTCAGAGTGCTGCGGGAGAGATATTAAAAAAGTCAAATCTCCTTGTTGAGATTCTTCCATTTGGAAAAATAATTATTTTCTTTTGAAAAGAATTATGCCTTGCAAATATTTGTTGCAAACTCTGTTTACTATTCCTAAAGTAAGAACAGTGCTAGCAAGCATCTTTGACAAATGTGTTGTCAGAGTTTGACGAGTTTTTTTGGTTTGTGTTTTTTTTTGCATCATGGGAAGAATCAAATAAATGCTGATACATTTTCTTAGTTTTTTTTGGTTTTATTAATGATGACTTAAAGCAAATTGAATATCATCTTTTGCCTTCTGAAATTTTCCTTGGTATTTATTTTACCGGTGTTTTAAAGTAAGCAAGCCCTTTGTAGTTTCCAGCGCTGCGTTGGGTTGGCTGAAGTCTGAATGGACCAGTGTAAACAAGTCCTATTTGGCTTCCATGTGTCTTTTCCTAAAAGGAACTTCTGCTTGCTCAGCCATGGCTATTGATAAAAATAAACAGCTTTTCCTTATACTAAGATGATGGACCCTAATTTCTTCATGAGTGGACTATGTCCCAACAGTCATGTTTCATAGGCAAAATGAAAACATTGAGCTATGGGAAGTAACTGCAATTTTGCTCTTAGAATTTAGTTCTTTCAGATAGCAATAAGAGTATGAAAATGCCTAATGAAATCAACATCCTGCATCAGGGTGTGCACGGAGGCTTGCTAGGGTTGGCTCCTCTGTCCCATAGGATTTCCACCCTCTACAGCTGCAACCTTGGCAATCATATGCTTAGGCTCAATGCTTTTTTAGATTTCTAATCTTTTTGAAGAGAATTCAAAGAACTCTCTAAAATCACTCAAACCACTAACAAATGGTAGCATAAGGAACATAAGATATGAAAATATAAGTCCTCGGTGTGAACCTACAAAAAAGCTACAATGTCTCTATTTTCTTCTGTTCAATCCGCTGTCCACATATTCAGTTGTTATGAGAGGTTTATTCTTTAAAATCTATTATGCTGTGCTTATGCTATGATATTTTGCGTAAAGCAAAGAATTCAATATGGAAAGATTATCTCTTAAGGAACTCTTTTTCTTGTACTACTGATGTGTTAATTTTAAACATAACACCTAACAGTGCAAATACAGAAAAGTGAATACTCTGGCAAAGTGGTATCCTGAAATACTCTGATGTTCTTGGAATGGAAAATGGGAACATAGCTGGGACAGAAAAATATTAACCATATTTTTATTTTGTTCCTACTTTAACCAAACCCATTGCAAGGACAAAAATTTTAAATTTATTTATATTTGTATATTTGTATTTAATATATTTATGTTATTTTCCTCCATCTTTCATTAAATGGAAAGAATGTTGGTATAAATTAGCTTAATTTTCTGTATATCACTCTATTCTCGATTCTGATGCGAGTACCAATCCTAAGGTGCATGCATTTGAGATCTGTAGATATGTCAGAATATATTGCAGAAAGCAATAACACTAGAATAAGAACAACAATATTGTTAAACTAACATTCTGTGTATAGAATGCAGACTTTTTCCATGCAGAGCATTACTGAAATCTTGGGGAGTATAACACCTGTAGTGTAATATTAAGACATTAAGATGAAATCCTGAAGTGCGTGACCAAGCTCAGTTGACAAATGCTCCATGAACAGATGGAGGACCAAAGTTGATTTCCACAGCGCTCCGTTTACTTGGACTCTGGGTGAAAATTTGAATGGAGCAGTGATGCTTGTAGACACAGTGAATGATGGTTTTTTAGTTGCCAAGCTATCTCTAAGATAATTTTTAAGAAAATTATTAAAATTATTTTTAAGAAAATAAAGCTTATTTTGATTTACATGTCACATAACCTACAAAAAAGAATTGTTAATACAATATGATAACATGAATGCCAGTTTCACAGTTACAGCAATTTGTCTTCACCAATGGCAACAGAAATGTTATAGAAATTTAGGACCAGATCTCAGTTTTATTTGCCAGGGTAGAATTTCCGTCAGTGCCTGGTGTATCTGCAGTTCAGACATCTCACAAAGCTAATCTGAATATTCCAGCTGTAAACATTTGTGCAGATTTAAACTTATTATCCCTGATAGATGCTGTTCTGCTTCATCTCTTATTAGCCTGGAAATGACTGAAAACATTCAACCTACAATTAATGGCCTTTATCTCCTAATCTTTGTTTTACAACTGTAACACAAATCATACTCGGAAACATATTGTCACATAAATTCCCTAATATGTTCCTAGAAATAGTTTTTTCCAAATAACTCTTGATGAAGAATAAAGAAACCTCTTAAATATATATTAAAAAAAAAATCATGAGGCATAAGTAAATCTCAGAAATCATGAGGCATAAGTAAATCTCAGTAGCGTAACTGGTAGTGGTGGGGTCAGAGTACAGCACTCAAACTCTCCTGAGACGCGACATGCACTAAATTATGCAGATTTGACTCTGTGACTTTAGGTAGCATGGTACAGGGCTAGAGGAACAAAATTTTTTTCTGCCTTTTTTATGTCTTTCTTACTGATGAGATTTTAGGGGAAGTGATGTGAAAGTTATTTTCCAGAGAATAGTTGCTAAATTTCAGAAGTTATTTTTAGTGTTGTCTATTTATGTATTAGAAATCACCCATACGCTATATGAGGGTATAAAAGGAACAAAATAAAGTACTAAACTTGTAGCAAGGGTTAAAAATTTCAGGACACATTCCTGCAGAATGCTTTGATCCGTGTGGCACAAACAATACAGGCTAACAGGGTGCTCAGGGAGAGGAAAATGGGAGTTATGGGGTAAAGATGATGTAACTGAGTAAATGCTTTCAAGCATTTGGCATTTTGTGTTCAAGATCATCAGTGTAGTAGGTGTACAGAGAGAGAGGCAACAACCATATTTTTCTTATTTTAGCTGAGCTCGAGGGGTAGAGGGTCCTTTGGGGTTAGGGCAGAGGGAGTTGGTCTGAGCTTCACCAACGTAAAATGACGTCCCTTTCTAGACATCAGAAGGTGTGGGGATTAAGAAGAAAGGATGAGCAAAGCTTGTCCTTATTTGCCACCAGAATAAATATGATGAAAAGGACAGTAGTTTAGCAAATTTCCCTAGAGCTATCTGCCCCTCTTTTCCCCTCCAAGACGGTTAGGAGAGAGGCAGTAGCAGACTGAACTCTGAGTGCTTGCTGTTACCCCTCTCAGCAACCTCTCTAGACATCTTGCTTCATCACCCCCTCTGAAAAACTTCACAGTGCACATGTGACACTCCCATAAAGCTGTGTCACCCCCTCTGAAAAACTTCACAGTGCACATGTCACAGCTTTATGGGAGTGTCACATCACAGAGGAATAAAATTATGTAATTTGTGATATCCAATGAAACTAGAATGCAAAGTTGTGGAGCATTATCTTCAAAAGAAAGAACATTTCCTTTACTTAAATGG